ATTGGAAATGTAAAAATGAAATCCTGACCTCATGATATCCATAAAAATATAAGTTTTTTTAATTGATTAATCAGTGATGCCGTGTGCGTCAACTGCTAAGGTCATTAGTCCCGTGCGGGTAGTGCATTTGTTCTCCTCGAGGGTGGGCGTTGATCTTCCCCCGCCGTATGGCGAGATCTGGCGATGACCCACCGACGGCTTGCGGGGTTTTCACCCAGCCAGGAATCTCCCGCCAGCGGTGTTGTAACAAAAAAAGACAACGTTTCATAAAAGGTTTTTTATTCACTGTAGGCTTCTACAGAGAACGTTCTGTAGACAAGCAATACTGTCCAAAGTATCCAGGAGATGCACAGAGACGCGCCAAGTTACTAAAAGCCAAAAAGATGTCCAAAATCACAGGCACTGTAGCCACTATGTCCAGAATACCCGTCCGTTATGCAATTCCGAAGTCGCCACTTGAATCACTCGCAATAGCTCGCACTTCACGTCACTCACTCGCCGGTACTTTTTCTTTCTTTCTTTTTTTTCTTTTCTTTTCTTTTATTTGTTTCCCCTCTCCATTTGCCGTGGAGAGGAGGGAATTTATTTTTGGTATGGCGGTACATTTTTCGCGGCAGCCGTTTAGGGTTTTGCAGCTGTAGATAGGGCCTAACGTAAATAAACTAACTTATAATCTAAACTTAATAACTAATACATACTTTAGGACTATTCTAGTTATAATACAAGGTTAATGAAAGTTTTATAAGTTCGCTAAAATGTTCTTTCTTCTTTATTATTTTATATTTTTATTCATTCACTCTCACATTTACGCTTAAACTAGATATACAACACATACTGCCGGTCTTCTCGCTGCGGGGCTGCTTTATACCCCCTCCGGGCTGAGTGCTCGTCGCCTAGTCGTGATGTTGGCCGGCGCCGAACCCGTGCCGCGACGACTGCCTCGGCTCCGTCTCGGGTGACCTCTCTTGGGCGGTGACTGCACTTTCCTCAGCCGGAGCGACCGCGCCCTTGCGGCGGTCCCTTCAAAGGTAAGCATGAGACATTTTTGGTGGCAGAATAACTACTTCTCTCCTCTGTTAGTGGATAGCAGATTATATGTTATTAGGGGTTCTGTATGTCAAGGAGTTCGATAGAATGAATTCTGCTCCTGATACACGTTTAAGCAATTAATAAAACGGTGCCATCTCACTGTACCAGTATTTTCCATTCACTGTTTAAATGTATCCTTTAATATTAACCATGAGGATCAGGCTAAAAAAGTCTTACTGAAGTATTGTTTTCTACTCCATCACTTAAATATATTTTTATCTTTGTTTCACCCAAAACTAAAAAGCTCTGGTTGTTTGCTCTTGGATGCCCACGTAAAAATAAGAACAACACGCGCATTCAATTCTTCTTGTATTATCTGCTCAGTTTTTTAATCAGATCCTTTTTCCCCGTTCGAGGCAGCTCATTTTTGCTATCCGACACATTTTGTTACGTTAAAAATACGCTTGAGCATTTGGATAGAATTCAAATAATGAAAGAAGTATGTCAACTTGACGTGCTAATGCTAAGGTAAAGTTTATGGTCGATTATGTGTATGATTTTAACTAGTGCACACATCTTTATAATAAATTGTCAATTCTGTACAAATAGCCTGGGAGCTACAAAAAAACAAAAACACGTATGATCAAAGCTAAAACGTTTTGAGAAGTTATCCAGTGCTATGAGGAACAGGGAAACGCAAACAGGTATCGGCGTTACACAATTGTTTGAATGTGTAGAAAACACTATGCTCTTGGAGAATACAGATCATTGGGGAACACAGCTAATTATTGTCGAGTATTGTTCGTTAGATACCCAAAGTGTGAAGGAGTTGTATGCCATACCGATGTGGACTCTCAAACAGTTTGCCGTATTGAATTCAAAGTTTCAGTTTTTTTAATTCCCTATTGTATTACGAGCTCAAAGCTAATTGTTGGTCTAATGATAGAAAACTTTTTTCACTGCCGATTATGACCACACCAAATCGTTTTGGCGTCTCTAATAGCCGCATTACGCCCTGAGGAAGGTCGCAGAATGGCGACCGAAACGTCGCCACCTTTGCCATCGACGCGGCATCACCCGGACAGCCAACTAAATAAACTATTCAGTAATAGGGCTTTTTTTTAATTTAGGGAGAGTGATACAATTTTCACAAGGTCATGGTCAAAAAACACACGAGAGAATTTTTTTCCATTGATTTTAATGTCTTCAAGACGAATTTATAAGTGACATACTGATTGGATGTCTCGAACGTGAAAAACTAACACAGAAAGTCTCTATTTCAACTATAACTTTATCTTAATGGTTAACTGTTGATGGAAATGAGAGATAATACTGACAAAATCATTTGTATACTTGTATTTTTATTAAATAATAAACTATTCAGTAAAAGAGCTTTTTTTAATTTTGGGAGAGTGATACCATTAGTTTTGCCCCGGATGACACCAATTGAAGCTACGCCACTGATTTCCGCCCCGCCGTGACTCACCGTGGCCGGCGCTTCCTCACTCTTCCCCGCCCCACCCGATCTCAACCTGTCCCTTCCCTCTCGCCCAGCTTCACCCTGTCCTTTCTCATCATTTCGCACTTCACCTAGCCCTGCCTGCCCCGCCCTTCGATGCCCAGCATTGCTATGATCAGTATTATAAACAGATGCATTGTTGCATACTCCAGCACACTTCCAGTAACAACATTGACCTTACTGTTGGATTGAATCAAAATGATTTAGTAAGAAATTTTATGAGCTTTCAAAAAATGTAATTCACTTTGGTGTATTTACTCATCAATTTCGAGATATTTGCAAGAAACTGAAAGACTATACATTTGAATTTGTTTTAAGGTCAAAATTTTATGATCATATTATTTTACTTATAAAATTACCTCGTATAAAAATCATGGTATTGCTCTCGTGGTGTTTGCCAACTGGTTGAGAAATGACGTTAAGGAAGCGTTACCCTCCACGACAAGATGATCAGAAATCCAGTGCCACGCCGGATTTGGAATTCCCGGACCTCCTCCTCACGAGGTACGTAAAATTAGCAGAGCAAAGTTTTTAAAAAAATGGAATTAAACTCAAAATGTGTCGATTTTCCGTTAATGATTTCTTACGCAAAAAATTGTCGCTCTTCATTTGACCCTGCTATAAACAATTGTCAAACCGGACATCAAGTTAGCACCACAAGTACCAGAAAACCAAGAAATTACAAAGATAAATAAAAAATAATTACATGGGAATTTGTCACTCTTTTGTTGCCCAGTAGTACCCAAAAATAAATTCTGTTACTCTTCAGACACCACCTAATTCCGGAAAAGCGAAATTTGCCCTCTTTGCGGCGGGTGACGGTGCAGGGAACGACTAACCGTCGCACATAGGTACCACGGAACCACAACCTTCACCGTGGTTTGACAACCGTGGTGGACAGATAGAATCAAACGCGCAGAACAAATGAAGATTTTCGGCCCCACATAAAAAGATGAAGATTCACAATTGTTATAATTGTAGGAGAATCAGAAGATTTTGAAGTGCGAAAAGAATTTCATGAATTATAAAAAGGACGCGCATATACATTTTAGTTACTTTTTCTCTAATGTCTGGCATATTATTACAACGGAGTCCTTTAATTGCGTTCCTTTCATGCATTCAGTTTCTCTGCGCATCCAGCCGCTGAGAAGGATTGGAGCTCGTAGGTGCTAAGAAGGGATTCGCACAGCCGTTGTTTTACTGAGGCGGACGCCAATAAATAGGCGTCATTGCTCCGAACAGAATATCCCTACGTTCAAAAATATTATTAATACCCGCAGTCTTACACGTGTATTTGCACATACTTCCATTGTTAAAAAAACACGCAGAATTATCATCGCGCCCTCTCCGAGATTCGGACTAGGAGGGTAGCAATGAAACATTTATTTTTTTATTTACGTCAAAAACAGTTTAAAACTGTGTGTGGCGTGCTACAAGAAGGCCAAACTTGCCGGACTTAATTTGAAGTTACATGTATGTCCAGAAGTAAAACAAAGGGCCATTTCAGCATTTGCTCAGGGATCAGAGAAACTAGATGAAAACCTAATCGCGATGGGATCATTGACTCAGAAGCTGAAGTACAATAATTGTTACAGGTACTTTAAAATTATTCAGTCCAAATGGTAAATATTACATTACATGACACTCTTAAAATGAATATTACTTTCATTTTGGATGCTCGGAATATTCTCTAATTGTATAGAAACAGTTGTGCAGTAGAAAATATTTTTCTTGGGACTTAAACTTTTTGATTAATGTCATCTGGCAAAGTGTTGTAAACTAATGTATATGTATTGTATGTGAATTTTTTGTTGTGAACTGTTGATACTGGCACAAGGATTGTAAAGGCAAACATCATATAAATTTAATTTCAAAATTTTAATATTCAAAATTAAAACATCACCCAAAATCCATCTGGTTTAGGAATCTCTAACATATTCACGGGAAGAATAATTTGATTCGGCAATGACAGCGCGCTATTTTACCAGTTTTTCAAATTTGTCCGAACGTACGAAAACATTTTTAAATTTAGCTTCAGCTATTTTATTTGGGAGAAGAGAATCACAAAGTGAATTCTGTCAAGGAGACAAACGCCGTTTTGGGATCAAAAATCGAGTCATAGGATAAAAGTGCTCGTGCGTTATATCTGCTCATTTTTTCCGGTAGTGGAATCATAACGGAAGATCTTAGAAGTTAAGTATGTAAAATAAGATGTGAGGCGATGGTATATTAGTGATATTTACACAATTAGTTAAATTTTCTTTTTGAAATCAGTTCCAAATCAGAATCTATATTTTGCGCAATACCTCAAACAATTTTATGACGGTATTCGAAAGAATACGGAAATATGTGAACTACTATTACAGATGATACTAGACCATTTGCTTTTGTTACAGCATCACTAGTTTGATATTGAGGGAAAAAATACATTGAGATGTAAAGTGACGAATGCATGAACCGACTGCCTGGTCTCGCCAGTTTGGCCTCTGCCGTGACTGGCTGCACGCCGCCGGGGCTGGCCGTGCCGCTGCGCCGACAGAGGGCCCTCAACGGGTGGATGACGCAACGGGTGAAAGGGGGAGGGGGGCGAGGCGTTTTCCCAAATTTCACTTTACGACGCTCCTATTCATCCAATTTGCATGATTGACACGGCGTTCAATTAAGGAAGCAGGAAGCATCGCGCTATAAGCCCACATTTTTTATTTTTTTCCCGGAAGTTCGAGCACCAATTTCAAATTTGAGTTTTTGCTATATTTTTGGAAAAGGGGCTTCGTAACGTAAATTATATTTTTAAAAGGCGTCAAATGCAGTTTACAAATCGAAAATCAGACTATTGGTTCAGACTTTATCGGTAAAGTCCCCCTGTGACAGTGCTGCCATCTACTGAATTTTCCTACAAGTATTTTTCGGTGCATTTAGTCAATGTCAAGTTCATACGCACGCACCACCATCGAAATATGTCACTTCCACTTTGTCCAGTCTTCAGGTCCTTGAAGCTTATTCACTTACATTTTGTAGTCACTTCCGGTAGCCATGTTTGTTGTTTACAGTTGTTCCAGTTCAGACATAAAAAAGCACATTTTCTTCGGAAGATCAATTTCGGATCCACTCACTAGAGAATACGATGCACACGTGGCCTGGGCCCATAATTTATTAATTTCCTTGTATAAATGTTATTTTATTACTTATCTTGAAAATACAAAGTAAAAGTATTCATTAACGCAATATTCATAATTGCAATAAAGAAACTGTAAATAGTACAATATCATATATTTCAAATTTGTTCCATAATAACAAATAAATAGTAAATGAAAAGAAAATGGTTTCAGTGCGGCCTTCCATTTCAAATAAACTCCATTGAAAATGAACGGTGTGCCATTGACTGATGTTAAGGTAACGAAAGTTTTAGGTCTTTCAATTCAGCCAAACGTCCATTTAAATGAATTGAACACTAAATTAAGTTCTTTGTGCTACGCTTTCAGAATTCTTTCAAATTCAATCAGCCTCCATTCTGCTCGTTGTGTACATTTCGCGAATGTTCATTCCCGCCTGAGATATGGCATAATATTATGGGGAAATACATCTAATAGCTCCCAGAATTTTAGATTACAAAAAGGAATTATATGAATGATAAGCAAATCCCACCCACGTGATTCTTGTAAGCGTCTCTTTATTAATCTAGGTATCTAACCATTAGCTTGTCTCTTCATACATGATCAGTGGTTTATGTGGTTTGTGTTAAAAATTACTTACTTAAGGGCGGGAATATATTTTCAGCAAACGCTGATATCTATAACTACAACACTCAGTGTAGTAATCTTATTCACCATGTGATAGAATCAACAGCTCACTACAAAAAATACATACACACTACATGTATATTATTCTACAACACCTTGCCAGATGACATTAAACGATTAAATTCGATACAAAATTTAAGTCCTAAGTAAAATCTTTTCTACTGCACAACTGTTTCTATACAATTAGAGACTACATCGAGCATCCAAAAGGAAAGTAATATTAATTTTAACAACGACATTTAGTGTATTATTTACCATTTGGTTTGTATAATTCTAAAGAACCTGAAACAAGTATTGTACTTCGGCATCTGGGTCAATGACCCCCATCTCGATCAGGTTTTTTTTAGTTTCCCTGATCCTTGAGCAAATGCTGAGATGGCCCCTTATTTTACTTCTGGACATAAATGTAACATCAATTTAACATTTAACAATTCATACATTGTTTCAACATGTTGAAATGTGTTGAAATATGTTGAAATATTGCTTCAGAAGCCATTCGCCATTCAAATTTTCTTAGAAAAGTATTTGAGTTGCAATGGTATTATGTGTATGATGTTTTTATGTGTTTTTGTTTTCTTGGTGATTTTATTCCAAATTAAATATTGTTCTTGTATTATCACACAATCAATTACTCTTCTAAATTCATCATTCACTGTCGCAAAGAATTAGGATCTAATCATTTTTTTAACATGTACTGCATGTTTTTGTAACTGCATGCTGATTTTTTTCTTCACTTCTCTTAGCCCTTCGTGGGCATTGAGAGTTGATATAATATTTCTGGAGTAATCCGCCATTGAGATTTTGTCTTTTGTCATATCACGTTGCCGTTACTCAATGCCTTTTATCCCTTCGGACAGGGGTTGGCGCTGTTAGTAACTGGGGTTCCTAGATTGTCACATGTCCGGGAATCCATAGTATCTTGAGTTGCTTAACTTCTGTAAATTCAAGGAGCGTAGTTAAACAATTTGGCGAATGATGCTGGCATTTTAGAGCTCATCAATAATGTACAAGAAAATAATTATTTTATCCAGGTCTTGGCTTGGACATTGCGAGGTCCTGATTATTTACTTTTGAGTAGGTATTCTTTCGTATGACTTGGACACATATGAAAATATTACTTTCTTACTTGTAATTATTACTAATTAACATAAGTAATGTATATAGGCTAATAAGCCTGCTACTTAATTAACACATTTCTTGAGAAATAAAACAAAAGTTCAAAATTTTGACATTTTGTTACCCTGTTTTATTTAATATTTGATTTTTGAAATAGCCTTACACGGGCACACTGGGGTGTAACTTTCCTCTCTTACATTCATTTTATAGGCTAAACATCTGAGTATATTAAGAAAACCAGAAATTCACACTCTGCAAATTAAATTTGCAGACCTCTCCTATAGTTGATTTTATTTGCAAAATCAGTCATAACTAATTATTTTCTTAGGTGCTTGAGAATCAAGTCTGGAGTGCATTACACTTCAATGTGCCTTTTCTGTGTGTAATTTAAGTTCCAATCTAGCTCTGCATTTTCACGGTACTATTTTATTCAATGAAGAGAATGATTTTTATTTTAGCTTCATTAGAATAGTAAAAAGATTCACTTTTTGCAAGCACTTGCATCTAATGATTAATTATGAATGCTAGAGCTTAATTTCTGATGGAACACAACAGAACAATGTTCTCGTACCTTGGGAATAATTATTAAATTATTTTATAAATATATAACTATTCCTGTTAAATTAATAATTAGTTTGGGGAACCTAGAACCTAAAATTTTATAAATCAAGCACCAATGACTGCATAGAATAAGATGGGGTAAAACAAAAATTGAGGAAAGATTTGAAAAAATAAATACAAAACATAAAGAAAATAAATAGAAAATACTAATTACATACAACAAAAGTTGTTCTTTTTTGTTCTGCAATCATTCTTTTGAGAGAAAAATGGTTCCAATAAATTAGCAGGTTGCATTTATAATAACTAGGAACAATATGAATGTATTTCTATTTTTTATAGACAAAGCAAAAGTTTCTTCATTCAAAGGTTGATAATTAACGTTTCATAATTTTTGAAGATTCTGAGTACATATTTATATTTTCCTGCTTTACAAATTGACAAAATAGGCACCTTGGCATATAATGTGTTTGTTCTATACTTAATGAATATTTGGAAGAAAACTCAAGCAGATTATGAATTGTTGGTTCACATTATTATTGAATTAAATATTATGCCAAAAAAGAGTGGGTAGGTAGTTAAAAAAGGGAATAGACACACAACAGTGTGAGCTTTGAGTGATATAATTGACCTTGAGAAATGACTGTGCAGAGTGTTTACATTTTCTTGTAATTAGAGTTATTGAAATTACATTTTTTGTAGTAAGTGTATTAAATTTAAAAAAAAAAAATTAGTCTCTCTCTAAAATTTTTAGAGTAATTATTCATTAATGATTCTCAGTAACTCTCATATTGTTATTGTAATGTCCCTATAATTGGCAGGCTCAGCAATTTTGTGTGCCTTAGGCTATAGTGTAATCAGATTGATTAAATGAAAGAGACTTCAAACATATATTTAGAAAATAAAAGATAGAATGAGAACTGCATACGGTAAGTTATATAAAAGTACTGTAAATCAATATGAATTAAATATTAATCCAAGTAAGATAATTTTATACTTTATTCTTATTAACAAATCTCATATATGAAGTTAGCACAATGCTTTCGATTTGATGTGATTTTTTTTTTCCACAAAAAATAATCTTATTATAAAAGAAAGAGAATTGGCAAAGCATGTGCAAAAGAAGTACCAATAAATTATAGGCCAACTACTTAAGTAAATTCAAATCATTAATATAATACTGTATTTTGTTCTTTATCATCTTTCAAATAATAGAACTTAATGCAATCTTAAAGAATCATTAGAAATAATTAACAGAGGTAAGCTACATATAACGGATGGTGGAGAATGGAAGATTATCGTTTTGAGCGTTCCCGTAATACAAATATAGAATATTTATGACACGAGGTGGGTAAATATTATTTTTATCATAAGCATGGATTTCCGCCAACTCCGCCTATTTGAGCATCTCTTACTGGAGGGAAAGGGAAGGGGAAAAACGCACACAGCCTGTTGAAGACCGGGAAGACGACTCGGTGTCATATCAGACCAGATTCTGGTATGGATAATGGAGAGTTCACGATTGTATCAGATGTAAAATGAATGTAGAAGGTTATTGCATAACCTTTGCATCACGCCAAGATGTAAATTTTCTTCCGCACGTAACAGGAATCAAATTGCATACATTACACAAATACATAAATTTTATCGTGGCAACGCGTGGTTTAGTTAACAATATTCCTTCAATAAAAACGAAAATTACATTATTCTAGCCTTCCTTTTTAAATGAATGTACTGTAGGTAGGCGGTGCTAGACTTGGATCAACTCGCAAGAGTAAATGCTAAGGAATGCATATAATTAGTCTCTCTGCGAAAAGTTGTAGGATCAGGTTAAGATGTTGCACAAATTATGTACACATTGCTCATGAGTAACAGTGCTTTGCAGAGCTAATATAATCGTTTAACCCTTGAAATCACTTTGTGACTCACATGTCACATGTCTTCGGGTCATAGATCTTAATTCTCACACTTGCCACTTGTATTCATTTCATTTATCACTTCACTTGAATGAACTAATTAGTTTCATTTCAAACAATATGTATTGATTTGATTAAAATCCTATTGTTTTTATCTGTCTTTAAAGTGCGAATAGCTGATCTCATTAGCATATATGTTTACTTTCGTTGCTTACTGGATATGTTTATTCTCGTCACCACGCAGGGAGTCGTCGACTAGTTTTATTCGATGGCTGTAAGGAAAATGGCGGTTGGGGGCATTGGTTTGTAGTTATAAGGGATGCATTTATTATCTTTACACTTCATCCTCTATTCGTGAGTAATTTTTCATAGCTCACATTGTGTCATAAAGTGTCAGTGGTCTTTAAGGAAGGGATATGGAATAGTGTGAGAGGACACGAGACCGGTGAGATAAGCCAGACCTGCATATACTTTTCGTACTTAACGAAGAAGTTACAGGAACGTCATACCGTCGCCGAATAAGATTCATCTTGTTCAACAATCGAAAATGAGCATCCTGTGTTGTTGAAGAATATTGTTACTGTATTTGTAGGGCAATAGCTTGTTTCCACCATCTAAACGCAAGGTAAGGTTCAAACAAATTGAATGATTATCGTGTTGTCATAATCCTCGGACATGCCTTCTTAGTGTATTATTCTTCGTCAACATTTGGGCTTAGCAGGCGTGGCATGATACTTGATAAATTGATTTCCTTCGTCAGAGTAACTAGTTTTATTGAGGCAAATGATCTGATTTGCCACCCTTTGACTTGTCATGGCTTGCAAAGTGGTTGCCAAGGTAAGGTATTGGGGAGAATGATCGTGATTTCGTCTTTACATTTCTGATTTCATATTCATATTATTCATTTATAAATTGTAATGATTTTTTTATGTATGACGTTCACAGTTATAAAGGATTTCTGTGAAATTATAATATGTAGTAGTCTGTTGTGTTCTCTGTTGACAACCTTTGATGTTGTACTTTATAAACACACTTTATTTTTGAAATTGATTATTTATATTAGTCTACGGATCATGACGTTAGACATAATGCAAGGTCATTTAACATCTTTATGAAACCTACCTACATGGAGATGATTTGTAGTTTTGACATTTACTTATCAGAGGTTATGTCCCCTAGGTATGGGGGAGTTAATTTTTTAAATCTTGGAATATTGTCCTTACAGTTTGCGAATTAGAACATTCTGCCAATAGTAAATATTTCTATTGATTCGAATATGATCATTAATGCAATTTAATTCAGTTTCATTTCGTTTATGGTGTTTTATGCTCAAATGTTCATAATAAACTTATTAATAATTGAGTATGAATGTACATTCTGTTTTTATATTTCTCAAAGTGAATTCTAGTATTTAAGTATTTGCTTACTATATGATCTTGTCATTGTAAATTCAAGGATTCATGGGTGTGTCTGAAATGGTATGTTTTTTATAGCTATTTAAACTTCGTTCTCATGAAGAATGAAAAGAACAAAAATTAATTATTTATTCTTTAGAAGGTTATGATTGTCAGTTTCCAAGATATGTAATTTAAGACAGCGTTCAACTTGCCATGGACGCTGACAAGAGTTACTTGTAGGGAGGTTTATCTAGAAGAATTGAGGAAAAGAAGACTGTTTTCTTATTTTTGTTAAAATAAACTGATCTAATTAAGACCAAAATTAATTAATTACTTTAAACATTATTTTTTCTCCTTTTTAAAAGGCTAGAGGTTTAAAGTCTGTTCTTTGGAGCCCTTGCCAAGCACTTGCAATAAAAATTAATCAGTTACTTGGCAGTTGTTTAACTTGGTTTGAAAGATGTTTTAAAACCTTATGGATCTTCTCTTTCAAGAATTTATTTCAATTATCTGAACTACCAATAGACCACTACCAATAGGTTTTGTTTGTAGTGAAATATATTTATTGTAGTAAAAGTTTTGGGCCTTTACTTTTTGCATGTGTATTACTCACTTCAAATGGTGATATCTTAACTTTTAAAGTGCATTACCATATGAAGCTTGTGTAATTGTGGTAATTATAATTGTTCAGCACAGATAAAAATGCAAATAAAAAATTACTTTTACTTAGCTTGATATTTCTCATAAATGAATATAAATTCTCACGCTTTCTCTGATTTGATTGGAAATTTCCCTCTTTAAGGGCCACATTTTTCGTTGATTAACTTAAAAATCAGTGAATGTATAACAAGATTTGCGAGTTTACTTCTTACTTGATACTTCTATATGCATGATATTGAATGCAGATTTGAAAGTGAAGTAATGTATAATTTCAGGAATAATCTTTGGATTCAACTGGAGTCGTACGTCCATTTTATGTTACATGTAACCCTGTAAAGTTAAAATTTTAGAAAAGATATATCTGAAAATGAAATATCAAATTATCACAAAAATTAATAGTGAGTCAGTTGAAACTTTTATATCTTCTATTGAAACAGTCTTGTGAAGAAAATGCCTATTTCCATCATGTAGATTGATGCATTGTAGAACTTGTATATAAATTGTAAGATATGTTGTGAGTATGTCTGCAGTGTAAAATAATGTTTGCAATGTACAATAAAAGCTGGAAATATTAGGTCTGTGTATAAATTTCCGTAAGATTATACTGAAGAGTAGGGACCAGAATTCAGACGGTAAAAAAAGGCCCGATTTTTGTTTATGTGGTTTTAATGCCCGGAAAAGAAAATTCACGTTTTCATTTAATATCAACATATCAGCCTCGATTCTAAAATTAATGAATATAGTTGAGTATTAGTATCATTACATCACATTGGAATATGGCCTAAGATTTTTTTTTATAACTTCTAGATTCTGATATAGATATAATATTGTATGCACATGTGCTTACAAACTTCAATGTTTGCGGTCTTGGAAAGTGTAGAATTATTCAGAATTGAAGGTGGATGTATGTAATTATGTTCCTTTAGCACATTCACAGATGGTTTTGTTAAGTTAGAGGCAGTTCATGAAACAAAGAAGACATATGCTTTACTTGGAATCTCCACTTTACATGTTATTTACTTTCTTGAAAACTCATGCTTGAATATTTGGTGTGTGGAAAAATGTTGAATGTTATTCTTTGATTAGCAGGTGAGATGACTCAGGGCAACATCTGTTGCCACTGCAGTGTCTCTGACCAGCAGGACCTAGAGTTCACGTCCTGACAGTGGCTGTTTTTTTGTCACTAGCTAGATAACTAGGTCAAATTCAACCACAGTCCAGAGGAGAATTCTAGTGCCTGGTTGCTCTGATTGGTACTTTTCTGTGTTATCCGATCAACACCAGGCAAATGCTGCAAGTACCTTAGTGTACCTTAAATGGGCCACAGACCACACAAAATATTTCCTTCTTTATCCTTACTAGTACTGGGAGTACTAGTACTTGGGAGACAGGTCGGGAGCTTAGAGCCTGTTCAAGGTGGGGTGGTGTCCTTCTGGCGGGGGTACCTTTAGAGGGAAAACTGCATAAGCCAACATGCAAGTGCAGTGCAGACTGGATTTCATGTTCTAGTGGGGGGAGGAACACTGTTACCTCCGGAGATATAGTATGAGACTAATAGTTAATGCACCTTGAAACAAAATGATCAATCAGTATTCGACATTAAACACTAATTGAGCATATGTTACATCATTTTCCAAACATAATGTAAAATTAACTTGAATTTATCACCAATGTCAAATTATTCATTAAAACTAAACAGAATCTTTAAATTATAATTTCCCTTGCTCGTATACTAATAAGACTGATCTACCTTGAATAGCTTAATGAATTAGATAAGGTATTAATTTATTTCACAATGCAGTCAATGAGAATCAATTTCCTTTAATTATATTTTTGTCAACATTATGTTGTTGCCAATTAAAAGTGTTTTTTCTTTGTGTTAAAGTGATGTTAATATAATATTTAGTAACAAAGCTTTAATGAAATAATCAAATGAAATGAATTTTAGTTTGAGTCAATATTCAACAAAAATCATATCTTTTTAATACTTACGTAATTTTCTGAGGGGCTCTGAAGTGTGCTTTCTTTGCCCAAGTGTGGTTTCAGATACTGATTCCTGTTGGGTTCCATTGTTGACTCAGCCCAGTGTAACTGAGGTCTATCTGAGTATACTTTTGAACTTTGATCATGAAAGCCAAGTTGTACAGAAATGGGGTCCAACATTGTGTTTACATATTGCCCAGTAAGAACCACTGTTAGAAAGCAAAGTTTGGCACAGAGCTGTTGTTTCACGGATTATTTAATTCTTAAGTGTAAGTGATATGAATATATTTTGAATGTTGTTCTCGTGCATCATAAAGCATCCTATGTTTAAGAAAATCTTCTCTTGAATTTAATTACTATTTAAATTTTTATTTCATGAATGTTTGCTTTTTTTATTTTTTTTAGTCTGTTGTATTACCTAGGGATATAAAGTAAATAACTTCAAATGTATATTTTATACAAAGTCTCTGCTATATGGCAGTTTATTTTCTTCCATACGAATTTGCAATACTTGTTATTTTGTTTATTGAAGTTTCTTGATAGCCATATGGCACACAACTGTTGTTAACCTTTTATGAGGGGTTGTAAGCAAGAACACGGTAACCTACAGGCGACTGTTTTTGGACAACTTGCAAAGTTACGGTCAATAATGCTAAAACTTGAATTTGTTTTAGACTTCATTTAAGGATTCATATGGCATCATTCTCTCCAAAAGCATATTGCAAGATCAAAAATCTCAATGTACGACAGATTTGTGGGGTTCATTTCAGAACTTTTCTCATCATTCATAAATTGTGGTTTACCATGCCTACAACCCCTCAATTTTTGCCTCGCTTTTCCAAGATTTTTCTGTACGTTAAATAAAAAGGTTTCTACTTTTACGTATGACTTTTGGATCATTTGCATAAAAAAAATCATAAGTTTTTGTTCTTTACTGAATTATAAATATTGAAATTAAATATTTTAAAGTGTTGATCTTGGCTGGCAGTATATGAATTTACTATGGTCAATCTGTCTCTATGAGAAAATTCATTCAGAAAACTTGGCATTGTTAAGGTAATGATGTGAAGTTTTATTTTCTGGAAAATCACCTTTCTCACTTCCTCAATCATCATTTTCTGATGAATGAGGAAATTCTATTTTAAGTCAGTTGCCAATTCCAATGACAGTTTGCTCCATGAAATTGATCTACTAGTTTGCCAGTAATGAAATGCTAGCAACATACTAGCAACTAGTATGTTGCTGCTGTATATTGCATTTAGATTTGCTTGCTTATTCTATTAAAGTTAATGAATTCTTAAAAGTATGGTGAATGACATTGCCAATGGCTTGCGTTTTGTGGCAGTTTAACTTCTAACATTTATCTTTCCCTGAAACAATTCAGATACATGTATTTAAAGAAAAATGTTGAATTTATTAGAGACAGAATTTCTGTGTGCTATCAAATAGTCAAATATTCACGTTACATGATGAAAATAGATGAAACGTTCACAGTCAAATTTTTTAAACAATTTTTTGTTTTATTACCTTTTTATGGTGGTGATTGATTAAAAATTTTTATAAATTGTCCTCTGTGAAATTCACCCATTTATCTGAAGAAATGTTTTTGAATGCAGAAAATCACAAAATGTAATTGGTGTGTACTTTACAGATGAAAGAGCCAATGCGAGGTCAAAAATCTGCATTTTCTGATTTATCACTACAAATCATTTTTTTTTACATTTTAGAGAAATTTCAAATCAGTGTTCAAATTTTAACACTATATAATGTCTCTTTAGCTATCACACCCATGTCTCTAAACACTAATTCAAAAGAGATTTTGATGTCATGAACAATTTTTAATGAGACCACAAGAGATAGACTTGCTGTTTCTAATTCCTGATTTTATAAAATTTGATTTAACATGTATCGAATCTTACGTCACTGTTTTGTTTTTAAAGGGTCTTAAAGATTCCCAAGTACATGATCACATTCCATGCCATATATGCTTGCAAATTTGTGATTCTACTTAGTGAGGCAAAAAACCATGATTTTACATAAAAATAAAAAAAAAATCTGATTTTTTAAAATTGTATTAGATGTTTTTACTTTAAATCAAAATCGTTAAGCGATTTATTTATCCTTAATTAGTTGACAAACAAGAAAATTAAATGAAACATCAGTTTTTAAATTTATGATTAAATTGTCGAATTTTATTTCAGAAAATAAAGATGCTATGTATTCGAGAGATCTGGTACAATACCGCCCTAACCCGCAAAAACTTTAAATTTGGTATAATTATAGTTCTGTGCTCTTGAAATACTTCTCTTGTGTTCACATAACTGAATAAGCTTGTGGCACCATCTATTAGCATAATTTAGAAAAAAGGCATTCTTTATTCAAAGAAATTTAATCAATTTTTTGGTGCAATACCACCCTAATCAAAAAGCAATTATAGTTGAAAACAACAGAATTCACTGAAAAACTTGTAACAATGTTAGACAGTTTTTAAAATATTGAATTCTACTTAATAGTTGTCCTCTTATCAAAAAAATAGGGTATAATGGTTGTTACTTGTGCATTTTCCCATTAACCATTTAATGGTCAGTGGGAAGTGTGCTTCCCTCTGAAAATGGAATTTTATCGATACACAAGAGAAAGGTTATATTATTAAAACTAGTAAGGATTAACTACTGTTTTTATTAGTTTTAACAATATCAATTTTGTTCCTTAAATGGATATTAATAAAATTCCTTTTTTATTAATACTCAATCTCTTTAAAATGTATTTTAAGTGGCTTTAGCAAACATTTTAATAGAAATCTAGACTTATGGCCACCGTTCAAGATTGAAAAGTGTTTTTCTTGAAATTAGTTTGGTATGTGTTAAGGTGGTATTGCTACTAAATTTGTTTTTATCTTCAGACACTTAAGTGCTGGATAAAGACTGATCGATCATCTAAGTATATTAGTTTATAATCCTACGACAAACTGTTTTTTGTTCTTCATTTCATAAGTTTTGTGTGCTTTATTATACACTACATTGCATCTTACTCTCTCATAATAGTTCAGTTATGTTAAGAAAATTTATAAGAAATATAATATATACTCCAACTTTGTAATTAAGGCTTTTTATCCAAGTCATTTTTATTTTGCAAATATTTAAAATACAAATATATTTTCAAATATTACAAATAATGAATATTGATTTAAATCCTTAATTAAAAAAAAAATATATATCAATGATTTAAACCTGCCTGCCTTTCTACTTACTCTTGTTGACATGAAGAAAATGTTTTCTATAGTTACAGAGATGCCACTAGTTCTTGAAAGGAATTTTAAGACAAAAAATTAATATGAAATACACCAAGTTTTTATACATTTTCCCAATAACCTTGATTTATTCATTAACCTTGAAGTGAGAGGTAAAATTCTGAAATTAAAAAAGAAAAAATATTTCTAAGAAATATATGTGAATGACTGCTTATGATATAAAAACATATTTCTAAAATGTCTTAAACCTCAGAAATATCTCAAAACTGTGAAAGAAATTATTTAAATTCTAGAAATTATTTTCACTCCAATAAAAATTGAATTTTCTTTTCTTTTTTTTCCTTTTTTTTTTCCTTCCCTCTTCTGCTGCTTCTTCCTTTTTCTTCTCTCCCCACATCTACTTCACTGAAATTGTTTTATCAGTTTCAGAATGTCAAACAATATGATTTCCGCAGCAAGAATAGTCTTTAGCACTAAACATATTAGCATGAAAAACATGTCCAGTAGGTAGATATACTTTTTGTAATCAATCCTTTGTTACTGTATAATTCCTCTGTATTACAGCAATTGCAATAAATTACATTTCTATCTATATTTCGAGAATCGCGGTTTCCAATCCATTGCTTGTAAAGTAACACTTCACACTTAAAATCTTGTATAAATCATCCGTTGCACACACACAGACTGAGAGCCTGTGTTTGTATTTTTCCATCCCATTGTCATTGACATACTGAGTTTTGGCTTGCTATATCTTCCGTATCCATTGTGACATCGTTTAGTATTGATAATTATTTCACAATTGTTGACAGTGACAGTACTTGTTGCAAATCTAAAACATGTACCAGAAGGATAAAGTGTGTAGTATGACAATAAGCAACGACAGTAGGCAACTGTGTGTTTCCATGATCTAAGAAAATTTACAAAATATTTATTTTATATATACAAAAAATGTAATTAATGTAAATGTGTTTTCCGATGATAATGTAAGTAATGACAATTATACAAAATAACCATCCACTTTAATGTTGAAAAATTATAAAAATAAAAAAGTACTTAATATAGTATATAGAAATCTAATTATGCAGTATTAAATGAAAAAAAATGTTCAAACCTACATCATGCATGAATTTCTCCAAAGAAACTATCAAAACCTCCAAATATGCATGGAAAAGGATGCATTTTTTAAATGAATTTGCCATGAAACATATATTTACAAAGTTGAAAGCTCTGCAATGCTGAAATAAAAATGTGTATTTGCTTGGAAATATATCTACTGATTACGTTAAAACAAATCCCTTTTTTTGTTTAATTAAGTTTGTTTGATATAAAGATTTGAAGTTGGTAATCCTCTTGTTTGTTTCTCTACATAGGATTGCAAAATACTTTGTAGGTGGTAGGAAACTGATCTAATAACATGTGGTTACAAGTTTCTCTGTCTTCATGCTTTCTTGCTCTCTTTGGATATCTGATAGGATATTACTTGGAAACTTTTGGGTATGACAATCAAGAATACAGACTTATAAACATTATCTTCTGCAGATTATTTGGACCATTCATTTCACGATTTTTCTATTCATGTTTTTGTGATATCTAATGTCTTACTATTAATGTTTATTATACATAACATTCTCTGGCATGCCCATTATCTTCTTTTTAAGGAAACACTTAACTTAATGTAGTCATTAAGAAATCTTTGATACTTTTCTATTTTATCTATAAGAAAAGTGCATAAAAAAGTATTTTTGGGTTTTAACAGGATGGCTGCCTTAAGATCTGGACGAGTAGCTGGGGCAGAGATGTGGCTGTTGCACTGGTTTTCATGTTGCTCAAGTGAGCAGCCAACATCAGCTCAGCAGGTGAGGAAATGGAGATTTTCAGTAATAAAGAAAAATAGTTAAATTTTGATACTGAAAAGACAAATTAATAATACAGTATAAGGACCATCAAAGTGGCTATCGATTATCTTCTATAGCTTCTTTCTTACATCCTCAGATTACAATGGGGACTTTTTTTAAGCCCCAGAACCATAGGTCTGGGTGTCAATAAGCAGAAAACCTCAGAAGCCAAATCAGTTTAAAAACCTGCCAACTCTTTTTTCTAGTTTTCTAGCACAGCATTTTTCTTCTTTTCTAGTGTCATTTCAAAACCAAATGTAAAATTGTTCAATGTAATTCTAAATAAATGAAATGAACTAATGACAGTGGCTGTGCTTAAATTTTAATTTTTTTTCAGTGGAAATTGTTTTTTTATATTAAGGGGACTTGGAACCTCAGAGAATTATTGGTGATCGTGGAAGTGAAGTAAACCGTTAAATTTACAATTTTCTTCTTCCCATCACTTATGCTTATATAAGTTCAAATTTATACTATGTAAACTAATTCTTTGGATATTTTAACACAAATTAGTAAATAAAGATATGAAAAGAATTTGTGAATAGTGTGCTCAAGAACCATTTTTTTAATGAGAATTTTGTAGGACTTACTAAAATAGCCCTACATTTTTAAGAATCCTTATTAGATCACAAACTTCATTTCAAGTGTGTTCAATTACAAAAGTTATTAAATTTTTTTGGCATTTATTTGTCAACCATTTTTGTATGCAGAATTGAATTGCATTGAATTGCATATTGCAACAATTGTTTGTTTTTTATGTTTAAGAATTTTTGCTTTAATATGATTACATATAAGTTCCACATTCTTACTGATTTTTATTTACATTATGTATACATCATAATGCAAAATAATAGTAAGATTTGTTTGTTAATTTAGAAATGAATAACACCAATGCCACAATATTATCATTCCATTCTTTCATCATATTCAAATGTGAAGCCTGCTATTTTCTGAAATCATCATACATCATCTTCAATCCCAGTGCTGGAATCTAGTTTTTTATGGAAAGGGTCAGGAATAGCTGATAGATGACTAATAATAAGTACAAAAAATTGAACTAGTTTATTTTGTTTCATTTAATGTCCACATTCCTGTTGGTGATCTTGTTTTCAAATTCCTTTATTCCTTTGAAGTCAGCCATGTGCATTTGTGACAACTATGGATTTTCATATCCTCCATTTGCAACTCGCTTACATCACGTATAGTGTCTGTTCTTAATATTTTCATGAACCTGTCATTTATTGCAGGTATCTCTTCAGCTTTTTTTCTTATGATATTAATGCGAGTGTATCTATAATAACTAAACCAAACTGAAATTCCCGTATTCTTTTCTTTGTATGTTGCACTTTTTTTCCTGTTAGTTTTGTGGACAGGTATTCTTAATCACAACACCCTCATCAGCTCTAGTAAGATTTACTATATCATAAAAACTTATAAATATAATCCTTTACTTTATAATCATATAAAAATGGCTGGAAAAATATCCAGGCCAAAATTGCAATATCTTACAAAAAAATATAATCAGTTCCTAATAAAAAGTAACTGCTTTTATTATTATTATTATTATTATTATTATTATTATTATTATTATTATTATTATTATTATTATTAATAATGTTATTAGTGCTAAAAAGTAAAAACTACATCAATAAAGTACCATATTTACTCGATTATAAGCTCCCACTGATTGTACTGCCAAAGAAATAATGAAAAAAACGAAATTTATTTATTTAGATATAAGAAACACATTTGATGATTAACCCACTCAGACCCGTGGTTTCTCTACATTTTAGAGATTATTGACTTGGATGCAGTCTTTGGATGACTCAGATTCCTCACTTGACTTTTTGTCACTTTTGTCCATGAAAAGGAATTCATCTTCACTGTCATCAAGGGCATTTGAGGTTGAACACTTTGAAAGCCCTCACGACAACTTCTCTAGGAATACTCTTCCCAGGCATCATTTACCCAAGCGCACACTTGCGATAGACTAGCCGCAGATTACTGAGAAAGAATGACTGCTGGGTTTGGTCCTGAGCTTGGTGGTCGAAACTATGTGCGTGTTGCGAGTGTTGCTTAACCCCAACTCGCTCAGAATTTTAATCAATTATATATTTCAAATTAATACATGTGGTGGCTTTGTGCAGGTTTTATTTGTACTTTCTGCCGTGTTGGTTGCGTGGCCAACGAAAAATAGATATTGTTACGGATATCGGATGTCAGCTGCATTATAGCAACACAATGATACCGATTCTAAGCCAAGGGTCAATTTTTAAAATGCAAAAAAGGGAAGAAAAGGTCCTCTTACAATCGGGTAAATACGGTAATTAATAATTACATTTTTTAGAAATTTTCCTGTGAAAACAGCAAAATGTGTTTCATTCTAGCAATATGCATTATGCAATTATAAAGACTCCTAAAATATGTAAAAATATGCACTGTAAAAATTGGATTTTTCGGTGGATATGTTACAATATGCATATATTTAAATGTAATAGAAAAAACTTATGTAATAACTATCCTAGCTCTAATTATCATTCCCTTGTTCAATCAGGAACTTCGATTGCGCTACTATATTTCTATTGGCGTGCAGTCAGTATGAAATTTCATACCATGGCCACTTAAGGTGTCTAATATGTTCTCACAGCATATGCACAAGTTACTGTCAAGGGATTTGCCGCCTTACAGGGCCTAGAATTAAAGTGAATAATGTTCAATGAAAATTCATGTGTTCACAGTTAATAATTTCTAGTTTTCAGCAGTACTTAATAGATTGTTGAAGATCCTTGTTATTGTAATTCTTTTTTTTATTTCTACTCATCTGTGACTGAAGATGTGACTGCATCAAGTCATGAAATTTCCTTTTTGTATCGTATTTAAGCTTGCAGATAAAAAAAGTGTTCAATTAATTACTTGTGGAAACCACTTGTTCTAGAAACATCAGACATTTGCTAGGCTCCATTTAGCCAAGAGTTTTTGTTTAATGATTGTATTACGTTATTGAAATTATAGTAATGATTTATATTGAGAATGTGCAGTGGCAAAGAAACATAGGTCTAAATGTGGTAATTTGGCATTATAACACAAATAATAATGATAAGTTCGTTCTGTGCATCAATGAGATGGTAAATAAATAAGAGTTATAAAAATTTGAACTTGCTCTTAAATATCCATTTATTCATTTACATGCCTAATGCAGCAAAATGCGTTTTTATTATTGTAAGATTTTTATGACTTTTAACTATAGGAAACACAATGCAAAATGGAAATCTTCTAAGTGCTTTTCATTGTTAATTCTTAAAATTGTTAAAATAATAAAACGTGCCAAACTTCCAAACCCTACTTATTACTCTTATTCTTGCAAATAGAAAATGCTCAAAATTTGGGTGGATTTGGGCATAATAGCCCAGCAACAATACCAGAGATATTTGCATACTAATCCTGCAGTGTCTGCATTGTGGAACCCTGGAGAAAGACTTATCTTCTGTAACTGCAACGCAGAGAGTACCTGATAATTTGGAGACTTTTCAATTTGAAGAATGTGAAGTCGTCAATCTCGCGATTTTTTTAAAGGCCAAATTGGTCTCTTGCTTAAGTTGTGACTGAATTATTGCTTCTCAGTACTTTTTGTGAAGTAATCATTGGTGGAAGACTACCAAATGATGGCTTGAATAAAAATCTCTCTCCGCTGTGCATGAAAAGGATTATAAGAAATCTAAGAGTTCTGCTTGTGTTTATCTAATTATCTATTCGCATGTATTTGTTCGTGCCTGTTCGTACTCAAATATCGGTACGAAGAGCGCACTCAAATATCGGTACGAAGAGCGCGTGTTAATCACGCTAACATAGCAGTTAATAGCAATTTTGCCGTAATGTTCCTGCATACACTCCGAGCAATACATACTTCGCGGTCGTGAGTTTGGACTCCGGCGCGGGAGAGCTCCGGCGATAACCACTCGCATTCCAGGCAGATTTTGCATTACATTTAACCTTTAACCAACCGCTCTCGAAGTTCCAGTTCCGAAGACCCTTCCGGTGTCGCGCACTCGTACGAGGGCGCTTCAATATCTCTTCCTTCTACGACAGACGGCTGTCGATTCGTTGTTTTGAAATCGTGTAGTTCGTGGCCAAAGAAATTCAAATCGCCGACTAGCCGGCTGACGACGCTATTTCTTTGTTTCCCGGAATCGCAGAGGGTTCAAGTCGGGGATTCGCCGAATTTCGTCCCCCAACAGCCTGACGGAAGTTCCAAGCACGCACACCATCACTCTTGGGGTGCAGCGCCACGACGCTGGCGGCGACAGAGGTCACACAACCGGCTCATAGCGACGCCCAAAGCATGGCAGATGTATTGCAATTTTATTAATACCATAATCACGGCGCACTGTTTCGCCACAAAATATGGACCATCAGACAGAAGTAGAAGAATAGTTTCATGTTTAATTCCATGCTTCAATCTTTCGCTATTTAATCGTTTTGTAGCCTCGAAACCAGTCATGCTAAACATATGTCCCATGGATCTTGGTTATGCGGCTCACAGACAGATCTAAAGATTTTTACTCTATTGACCCCCATACTACAATTCCATATCAAATGTTCTCTGCTTATTAATGCTGCAGGAAATTGCAGGAAATGCAAATGTTTGACAATGTCATGAATCAGTGTTGATGCGAAGCATTTGTATCGTTCGCCCATATTCCGTCACGGGAAAGGAAAGGACATTGTGAATATACAGGCCGATATGTAGCTGGCGTGCCTTACACACTGCATTGTAGTATTAAACAATTGAGTAGTGTGATTTGTAAATATTTCTTGTTGATTATATTAAACAGCAAATTTAAGTTATGTGATGTAATGTCACAAAAGTGAAAAGTTGATAGTGAGTGCAGGGCTTTCCAGACAATAAGAAATCATTAAGTTACATTTGATGTTATAATGATCAAGTAAGAGTGGACAAACTATCATTTCACTGCTTTATAATGCAACACTACAGCAAATGATATTAATTCAGTGATGATGCATTTAAAGACAGTATGAACTCAATGGAATAAATTTTGCAGCATAATTACAGATGCTTCTACCATTGGGAGGAGGGAGTCACATGTAACAAAAATAAAAGAGAGGGCGCCATGTGATTTTGTTGGAATTCACTGTATCATCCATTAGGAAACATTGTCGTCTGAAAATTTATAAATGGACCTTGTAATGAAACCTGAATTGTGTACTCCAGAAAAGTACTCCAATGTGCCCTATTTTATGGAAGTTCGCTGGCTTAGAGAGTTGTTTTTAGAAAGATTTTGAGTTACATGGCCCTATTGTAGCATGAATGTCAGAATTAACTTATATGGTTGTCTTAATTTGTCATGGCGATGACTGGTAGCATGATTGAATCTTCTTGGTAGACACGACTAAACATATGAATGGCCTTAATATCAAGATGCAAGGAATCACTAAAATATTCTTATATCCAGGCATTCCAAACTACATTAAGACATTAAAACTCTGATATGAAACAGAAAACTCTATAATTTTCTGCATGTAAAATCATGTGGCACAGGTAACAAAACAAACTTCAGAATTAAACACACATTGAAGATTTTTTGTGAAATGATCAAGATAGAATTACCTCTTGTCAACAATCCACTTACTTTGTTTTTAGTTGCAAAGGTGCCAAGTCAAGATTTGAATAAATAGTCTGGCCAGATTCAAATAGCAAATATAATTTATTGTAAATTAAATAAATACAAGTATTTACTGTATTATTAGAATTATATTCTTATTTTATTGGGTGTCTAGTCTGTAGATCATGACTTTTATGTAATATTTTCTATAAATGTTTTAATACTCCACTAATTTCATTAGAGAAACATAAAAATAATCTTCTGAATAACCAGAGGAAGTGTGGGAAATTGGTTCGAGGAAAAGGGTCCACACTGTTGTTGTATAGATTCCATAATGTATTATTTGATTCTTATGTTGCAGAGGAAACAACGACAAGTTCGTGGTCGGATAGATCGTTCAATGATCGGAGAACCTACAAACTTCCAGCATACAGGCCATATTGGCTCTGGGGAAGTAGGAGGTGCCCGATTGCAAGCTGTGCAGCAACAAATGGCTTCAAAAGGAGGATATCAACATTGTCAAAGCCTTGCAGGCTCTGTACCCACTCCAGGACATGGTCTCAAGGTGAATTGACTATGGTCAGGCAGCAAACTTGAGGTCATTAACAACTATTATGAATTTCATCTGACTTGCTTTATGGTCTTTTTATTGGTGTTTATTTTTTGAAGTCTCCCTTGTCTTTCTCAAAAAAGTGTTCATTTTTATTAAATGGATAATATTAATCTGTAAATTAATGGTTTCATTACCAATGATTGCTTAAGTGGGTGATCTGGGCTGTCCGTGTGACGTCGCGTCGAAGGCTGTGTTGCCGACGTTTTGACCACTGCCGAAACGTCGGCAACACAGCCTTCGACGCGGTGTCACCTGGACAGCTCAGATCACCCACATGACTCTGGCCGTGGAATCCTACAACTTCAATGATTGCTTAACATCGAAGAAATGGTGTGGAGTGGGCAAGTGTGAAAATGCGAGTTAATGCGTTTGTGGAGTGATAAACCTGTTCAAAACAATAAAAAAATTAGTTTTAGTGATATTTCACCTTGACTTCATCACTACCTTTGACCTGTAAAATTAAAAAAAAAATAGTTTTTGCTCTTTTTTATTTGTTTTTTATGACAAGATAATGATTAATATTAATGGATCAGCAAATTTCCATTATTCTTTTAACACTTCGAAGTTTATAAGACATCTGAAAAATTTCATAAACATCCTGATAACTGACATTTTGTAAATAAACTGATATTTAACAAAGTTTTAACAAACATAAAAATGTGTCTTAATAGGGAACAGAGGTCAGCCAATTTCAAATTGAATCCTAGAAACAGCACATTTTAATTTTTTTTTTTGCACCCAAGAGGTTAAAAAAATGTAATCCCTTTTTTCACTGCTTCTCATTTATCACATATAAATGTTTTGTGAGGACTTATAATAAGTTTATAACATATTATCCAGCATTTTGGTGAAGTTTGTTGTATTATGTTGTATCAGGACCTGCAATATGAGTTTGTCAAAAAATTGTGAATTTGCACTGCAGCATTGTAATACTTTCTCTTTACTATGTGGATACATATTAAGAAAGAACTAAGAAAGGAAATAAAAAGTGGTTGCCATGACTTATGGGTCAATCGTCAAACTTTTAACATTGAAGTATTACTTAGTAGTTGAGGTTAAGTAGTGACAACATTGTATACTAAACCAGGAGAATTTGCTAATTGTCTTGAGGATTACCATTATCCATAATTTGTATGATAGTATTATTTTATCATGTAACAGGCTGACTAAATTCTGGAGACTCAGAAAAGGGGGGGAAACAGAATAGCAGAGGAAATACTGTATACAGGGAAGTGGATTGTTGCATGATGATACAGCTTTTGATATGAAACTGTACTTGATTGGAACAAAGTGATGTTGCTTTATGACTTTATATTCCTGATTAAATTTTGCTTTTTATTTTCTTTTTAAAATGCCTTATTGCCATACTAGCAAGGGGTCATACCATTTAAGCGGTCCGGAGTTAAACAAATTGGCAGTCTAACTATCTCAGAAAAAATGCACATTTTGAATATAAATTCCCTCGTGTTTTGGTTATTGAAAACAATTTTTAAGAAAATGTATTGTTCATAGTGCGAAAACGGCAATCATTTTTACTTCAAGCCATGCACTTTTTTCACATTTGTAGACATTTACAGTTTTGTAAATCACTTGGCACTGGGTTGTTAAAGCTTTTTAAACTAAACTATTTTGGTAAACTCGAGCTCTCACTTAATAAAAATAAGATTTACCTACCTAATGTTTTTATTCAGGTAATATTTGCAACCAAAACTATTGAATGCGAATTAACAAATTGTGGTTATCAAAGAATAATTTTTCAAAGAAGAAAGTCTTGGCCTTAATTTTCTCTGACCACTTAAGAATTTCGCCCTTCTAAAAATTAGAATTTTGAATTTTTTCCAAATTTTCAACTAATATTGTTTGGGGGGGGGGGGTAAAAAAAATATGCACATATAAAAGATTATACCAAACTGCAGTGTATATTTAAACTCTGAGATTCAACTCAAAATAAAGGCTGAAAAATTATAAATTCACTAGAAAAATTCTTCATTTCCACTTTAGTAAGATGTGGGAACAAGAAGTAAGTATATTAATTTCCAGCTATTTTTAACTCAAATGTATCATGCTTAAAAATAATTGATAATACTTAATTATAAATAAGCATAAAGGTTGCATAATGTATTGAATATTACTTTAATGCTATTCAAACATATTTGTAACTAAAAATAAGATCTTGATCTTTAAATTTAAAGTAACTGAACCCTAATAATAATTTCGCACTTGTGCACATGAAAGAATACTGAAATACACACATCAGTGGCAAATCTAACACAATAACTTAGAGTGGGCTGAAGCATGATTATCTACATTGTAGTTACCTTATATTTTCTCATACATAAGGTCCAAGCGTCAGTTTTTCATGGTCGCAAATTTGTCTATCACACAGTCTTTAAAAGTTCGATCACCTGCCAGCTAGATTTTTCAATGGCAATTATACCGAGAAAACATTCATTTTTCATTGAATTGCGGAGATAATTCTTTTCTCTTTTGAGTACTTTAGTTTTAGAGTAAAATTTCCCTCAATCGTTTCTGAAACTTCTTATAAAATTTTATAAAAGTATGAACGTAATGGTAGAATGTAATAATTTCACTAATGTATATGACAATATTTTATTTAGAATCAAACAAAGTTTCTATTAGTTAATTTTTTCACTTCATCCCGTTTCTCTCTTAACAAACACGCACACACATCTTCTCTCTTCCCCTCACAACCTCCTAATCCCTCCATCATTAACGGTCATTTTAAGAATTAAAGTTGACTGATACGGTTCATAATAGAACATTCTCCACTATTGTTTGCCTCGTAATCTGAATTTGAATTCACTCTACTTATTACTTAATAAGGTAAGCTTCCTAATCTTAATGCTTTCTGCTTATATATTACATATTTCCGTACTTTATATATATTATTTACTTACATATTTACTCATGATTAAAATTTTAATGTTTTTATTCATTTAGTTTTTAATCGGTATGCTTTTATTTTAAATTTTAGCTATACATTTTCCAAATGAGAGAGACAAAATAGTTTTGAAACGAATTTTTAAGACTCTTTGTGAAATAAACTATGTTTATGAACTGGCAATTTTATTTCAAATGAACTGAGTGTCTATAATAAAGTGAAATCTGATTAATAGAACCTATCGCAATCAATAACATTGTTAAAAAGTTACTAGATTTAGTTTGAGTGCAACAATGTAAAAATACAGCCTGAGGATATACTTCTTTAACAAAATGTTGAACACCATCTTGATCTCCCGCCATAATGGCAACCCCATCGTATGTTTGGCTTACAATTTTGTCAGTAATGCCATAAGAATTAAGCACATTAATTACATCTTTTGACAGTTCAGAGGCAGTTTTGTAACTCCAAACATCATAAAAACCAATAAATCTTTCCTTGGGACCTTCTTCTGTACATAATCTAACAATAATACTCATTGGCCATTTACAAGAAACATCAAGCGTTTCGTCTGATTGGACACCGACACTCTCACAAGAATACAATTCTTCCTTAATATACTCATTCATTACTTCTGTGAATGATTCAATCAGTTCATTTTGAATAGTACTTTAGGTACTTTTGAAACTGGAAGTGCAGATGGGCATGCATAAATTGTTCTTGTTTAGATAAAAGTTCCAATAATTAGAGATAATTTTCTTTATTGCCAGAAGTTTCATCTTTTGTATGTCCTATAAAGCAAGTTCCTGTTTTCCTAAGAATCACACATCTGTAAGTTTCTTGACAACTAAGTTCATGATGTTTAAAACTTGTCTTTTCTGTAAAAATTGTTCAATTCGATACTCTAACAATGTAATAAATGAAAACTCTCTCTATTTTGAAGGTGTTTTCTTGAGTATTGATGTTCTTCTGTGCCTTTCTCACAAAATATTTGATAACAATGACACCACATGCAGCTGTCATGCTTTCTTTTTCACTGCTATACAAAATATAACTATAACAATAGAACATATTAGTTTAGGAACACCCTGCTAGCCAACTATACTTCTTATACCAGGAAAATTGAAAATTTGTTTTGTTTTTCATCATTTAGATTTTTAAGTAATGTTAAATTTAGATGTTCATACCTCATTTAATGAAGTGTGAACCTAATGTCTTTGTGCATACATTTGGTTTCATAAAACCAATTGGAAAAAGGTTCTTCATTTAATAATGATGAAGTGTTCTGTCAGTTTGTGCCATTTCATATGAAATAATATATTAAAACGTGCACATTTAATTTTGGAGGAACTTTTCTCCTGAATCTCTGGAATATTGTGTTTGGACATTAAAGAAACAGTTCACCAGTAGTCCAGCGCATATGCAGAGGCGAGTCTCACTGTGAAAGTTAGAGTTCCCCCACTGCCTAATTCTCAGCAGGCGTACGGAGGCTCTTGCCACGAAGCCTTACACAGGAAGAGGAATCCATGCAAAATGCGATAGACAACAGCACACATATAAACATTTCTTTGGGAATGATAAATGATTTCTATGGGAAGAATCTCTGAAAAATTTAGTATTTCAATTCTAAGTTATCTATTATTTTGTATTTTGGAAATTATAATTAAATTTCTCGAATTTTGGGTAGGCTAAGCCTCAAAAGCGTCTTAAGCACTTAGCCATTGACACTTACCATAATTTTTAGACTTTCATACCATTTTTTAATAAAAATTTAAAGTTGTAACACAATAACCGAACCGAACCGAACTGTTGTAACACAATAACCGACTTTTTATACACTTATAGCACATTATTTTGAATTATCATTGGCTCACCAACTTAGGGATCATTGGGCTTCTCCCCCATCCTGCATAGCCAAGAAATACTTCGTTACCTTAAATGCCGACAGAATATTTTTGGGAAGTTAAATATACGGTCTTCAGTACACTTTCATTTTTGTGTAATCTTATGTTAAGTGAAAAAATGGCATCACTAAGAACTTTTAAAAGAACTAATATCATTCATGATAGCGAAAATTATTATTACAAATATTACTATTATTGTTAATCTCCTTTTCATGTACACAAATGCTAATGTGGAGGGAGAGTATTTCTCTTATACGCTAAGCTTGGAATAAAATCTTTAAAATTGTCACTTAGGGCAAAAACAAAACTGCGCAATAGTTGTGGGTTGCAGTGTGTGGCGGGTCGCCTCCTCCTCCCTCTCCTCCTTTTCCTCCTCCTGCCTCTCCTCCTCCCTCTCCTCCTCCTCCCTCTCCTCCTCCTCCCTCTCCTCCTCCTCCCTCTCCTCCTCCT